GGGCGGTCTGGGCTGGGGATAGGGGTAGGGTGGGGGTGGGTCGTCGTTTGGGGTGTCAAGAAAGTTAAGTTCATGGGTGGAGACGGGGTGACCATAAGGGAAGCAGGATTCATCAAATACGACGTGGCGAGAGATTATGATTTTGTGGGTGTTAAGATCGAAACAACGGAAGCCGCGTTGGTTAGAGGGATAGCCGAGAAAGATGCAACGAGCGGAGCGTGGGGCTGGTTTGTGGGGGGCAATGGCGGATATATTGGGGCAACACAAACAACCAAAGACGCGAAGGTGATCGTAGGAGGGCGGGGAATTGAAGAGGGTGGCGTGGGGGATCTTATTTTGTAAGGTGGTGGTGGGAAGAATGTTAAAAATATGGGCTGTCATGTGAAGGGCTTCAACCCAGAAGGTAGGTGGAAGTTGGGCTTGGAAGAGGAGTGAACGGACCGAGTTGTTGATGGTACGAATTGTGCGCTCAGCTCGGCCGTTCTGTTGACTGGTGTGAGGACACGAGAAACGAAAGAGGATATCTAAGGAGTCAAAAATATTTTTAAGTGGTGAATTACGATATTCTGTTCCATTGTCACATTGAACTGCTTTTATTGTTGTATTAAAATGATTTTTGACATATGCTACAAAAGAGGTTAAATTATTAAAAGCATCACTTTTATGTCTTAAAGAAAAAACCCAAAGGTAATGAGAGAAATCATCCAACAATAACATATAAAATTTAAAATCAATTATACTCGGAACAAGAGAAATACATATATATATCAAGTGAGAATAATTCTTACTTCGTGAATAGACCTTATCGTGAGAATGGTGCATTTTTATGCCATAAGGATGCATGTTTACATTGTGGTAGTGCATTTTCGGCACTGGGAGTAAATTTCAACTTATTTACCATAATGCCACTAGTTTTTTCAGATTTTTTTTTGGAATTTTTAAAGCCCTTAGATCTTACATCTAATGTACGAGATACATTCTTATTTCTTTCATTAAATTGCATTCTCATTTGACGATATATATATATATATATATATATATATATATAGACACACACACATAAACATACATACATGCATACATATACATACA